TTTATGGGAATCCTAAAAAATAGTATTGTACTAAAACTAAACTTTGCTAATGATCTTTATTAGAGGATCATCCAACTTTTCACTGACATTGGGTTTTCTTTTCAATTCACTCTTACAGTAGTCTGCTTATTTCCAGCCGTTTGTTATTTTATTGAGTCCTCAATTAAAAAAAAATATTTTGATTCATTTTGTAAATACAAGCTGTAAAAAAGAGAGATTTAATGTTGTCTTTTAAATACTCCGATTTTCATTCTAATATGAATGTTGTTATATTGTACTTAGAAACTGTACCTTTAATATTACATTACCTTTATTAAAAGTGCATTGAACACATCAATTTTAGATGTGCTTTATGTACTGTTATCCTATAATAAAATTTCAGCTTCTAATGGACCACTTGCCTCATTTTTCTTTCTTTTTCTTGGTTCTTGAGTTGCATGTACAGTTTTCTAGCTTGTCTCCATAGAATGGAGTAGGACAACCTTGCTACCCAAAGTGGGTCCATAGACCTGTGGCACTGGCATCACTCATGACCTTGACCTTGTCAGAAATGCTAGGCACTATCCCAGACCTACTAAAACAGGATGTGTATTTTCACAAAATCCCCAGGTGATTGGTTTGCATATTAACATTTGAGAAGTACTGGTCTATAAGGTAGTACTTTAAAAAAATATAATTCGTCTCTATTTTGCAGGGAACAAAACATATACAAGGATCGAGCTACCCTTTGATCAGAAAAGGCAAAGGAAATTTCAACTTGTGAGGAAACGTCTATTGGTTGATAGTAGCTGCCAGAATTGCAGAAATGAGGATTCTCAAAGGAGTGCCATGACTGATCGGTGATATTTACCCTGAATGTAGGAGGGGAGAAAACCTGAACTCACATCACACTTTGTCATCTTTGCTTTAGAAATCATTAAAGGAGAATGTCAGAATGATACCACAGGCTTTAAGGATGCCAAAGACTTTTTAAAAATCTGACATTACCTGGGCTATCATTGTACCATCCCAGCCTGGCTCCTTCTCTTGAGTAGATCAAATAGGAGTAAACCAACAGAGTTAACTTCAGCTAAATATCACATAATTTTAATGATGCAATGCCTCATCATAAATTATTTTCAAAGTAATCTCAAGGACACTGACATTATAAAATATTTGGAAGTCAGACTGAAGTCAGACTAAAGGCAACTGAGTTGGGCTTTTGCTCCACCCACATTCCTAAGCATCTCTTGCACTTAGTAAAATAAATATTTGAAATGATCCCCAAAGTCACTGCATATAACAAACATCATGAATCACATTAATGGATCCCCAGTTTGTCTGGAGGCAAACCTAAACACCCAAGAGTGGCAGAAGCCTCTTGCTAGATTAACAGCCACTTTTTCCTTTCCCTGCACCATCAGTTGTGAGCTTGTTTTCCTGATGTCATTTATCTATGATTAAGGAGTTAACAAAAGTCTTTGTGTGTTTACTATGGTTCTGGATTTTTTTCTCTTTTGGAGGGGAAATATTGACTCTAGTAAGATATAGTCATGTCTCAGTAATCCATTTGTTATTTATCTGCCTGATCGGTTTCTCAAACAGTATTTTTAATTCCAGGATGATTTCTTTGTAGGGGAGAAGATGCTTCAACTGTGACTTGTTTTTTGCCTACAGAACAAAATTAATTTTAGCCTCCCTCACAGTTAATTACAATAGTCACCCCCTAACAAGTCTCACATCTATCTTTTACCATTTTTTCTTTACTGTTTCCATAAAATATACATTGTATTCTAAAGACAAATACTTATTTAGTTACCCTACTTGGAATTATTTCTGTTATTATTACCTTCTCTCTGTGGGATAGTTAGGGGCTACCTATAAATAACTAGCATCCATGGAGTGAATGTGGAGGGAAAAAAAAAAAAAATGCTGAGAAATTGGTGCAACCAATGTGGAAAACAGTATGGAGGTTGGGAAAAAAAAAAAAAAACTAAAAATAGAGTTTCCATGTGATTCAGCAATCTCGCTCCTGGGCAAATATCCAGAGGAAACAAATTCAAAAAGATAGCAGCACTATTTACAATAGCCAAGACAAGGAAGCAACCTAAATCTCTCTCCTTTGACAGAGGAATGGATAAAGATAATGTTGTAGATACATACAGTGGACTCAGCCATTTAAAAAAAGAGAATGAAATAATGCCATTTGGAGCAACATGGATGAACCTAGAGATTACTGTATTAAGTGAAATAAGTCAGAAAGAGAAAAACAGATACCATGTGTAACACTTAAATGAGGAATCTAAAATATACAAATGAACTTATTTACAAAATATAAACAGGCTCACAGTCATAGAGAATGAACTTACGGTTACCAAAAAGGAAAGGGGATAGGGAGGGATAAATTAGGAGTTTAGGATTAGCAGTTAAAAACTATTATGTGTATCAATAAATAAACAGCAGGATCCTATGGAATAGCACAGAGAATTATATTCAAAATCCTGTGATAACCTAGAAAGTAACAACATTTTAAGTCAACTATACTTCAAATTTTAAAAATTAAAAAAAGAAATAAAAGATTGGCATTCAAACGAACAGTTAATTCTGGGTCTTATTTTAGCCCAGAGACCATCTTATAAAGAACCCAATAAAATATACTTCAAAACTATTATCTTCTGAATAGAAAAATTTGAATACTTTAGTCATTCTGTTCTGACAGCATTTCTTTGGCTTTTCAGGAGTAATGATAATTCCTCCTCACTTGAAGTATCCTTTATTGCTGAAAAGCCTAATTAGAACAAACTACTATTGGCAACAGTATTTCTCCCATTAGTTTCTGAATCAATTACTAGATTGAAACATCTTTGCTAGGGGGCTATTTCTGGATTCTCACTTTGAAAAGACCTCATGGATAATTGTAAATTCCAGAAGAAATTCCCTGAGTGAAGTAGTTAGCCGCTTCACTTCATGGCCAAGTTCACACAAGATCAAGCAAAGGAAGCTTGTTAGCTAAGGGGTAGGAGAATAACATGGTACTGATTTAAGAAAAGAAAAAAAAAAATAGATGACCTTGCACATTTCTCTATCTTGATTTGGTTGACAAGAAGAAATACACATAACAAGTCTGATAACTTCACTTAGCCAGGTACTTGTATTTTAAAGTTCTTTGTGAAATTGTGGTCCACTGAACCATTTTATAAACTCAAACTGAGTAACTACTCTTGTAAATTCTTTCAAAATGAAATTGGCTTCTTGTACCACTTATGAGTTTATTTCTCAGTTTTTGCAAAAATGGAAATAAAATCTTTCTTCTGCTTGAATATCCACAGAATAAAATAGAATAATCACTTTGAAAAACATTTGGCAGTGTTTTAAAAAGTCAAACGCAAATTTACCATACAACCCAACAATTCTATTTCTATGTATCTGCCCAAGGGAAATGAAAACACAAATTTCACACAAAGACTTGTATACAATCATTCATATCAAGATAACTCATAATAGCCAGAAAGTGGGAAACATCTAACATTCATTGTGTCAACAGGATAAACAAAATGGGTATATACATAAATGTGCTACCATTTAGCAACAAAACAATTACTAATACTTGCTACAACATGGATGATCCTCAAAAATGGATGATCTACTAAGAGAAAAGAATCCAGGTGCAAAAGACTATATACTGTATAATTCTATTTATCTGAAGCATCCAGAAAAGGCAAGTTTGTAGAATTATGAAGCTGCTTAGTGTTTGGCCAGAGATAGAGGTGGGAAGAGAGATTAACTGAAAAGGAGCACACAGGATTTCTCAGGGCGATGGAGATGTTCTAAAACTTGGTAGTGTTCAGAGTTGCACAGCTGTGCACTTACTAAAAATCAGTGAATAACTGAAGTAAATTTTATGGAACATGGATTACACCTCAATAAAAACTGTTTTACACACACACACACACACACACACACACACACACACACACACACACACACACACACACACACACACACACACACACACACACACCCTTTTCCCTGTAACTTAAAGAACAAAGTTCTTTAGCATGGTAGGAAGACCCTCTGAGGCCCCTCCCTTTTCCCCATCTAAGGGCCTTCACTTCCTCAACACAGTGATACAGTAGCTGTTCTCCTCCGCACACCATGCAGCACTGTTTCATTCTTATGTGCTCTTCACACCCCCAAAACCACAGCCCCTTTATCCAATGAACTCCTACTAGTCCTACAAGACCCAGCTAAATGAAACTTCTTTTCTGAAGTAGCCTCTAAATTGTCTCAGTCAGAATGAGTTCCCTCCTCATTGGGTTCCCATAGTATCTATCGTGTGTGTGTGTGTGTGTGTGTGTGTGTGTGTGTGTGCACGCGCTCGCACACCACTGAAATAAACACACAACATGAGAGCTGTGAGTTTCAATTTTATTTAGGGGCTTCCGACTTACTGAAGAGTATAACCCAGGAGACTGCCTATCAGCTCTGAGGAACCAAAGAGGTAAGGTGACAGGTCAGTATACATGTGGTATTCTGGAAGGGAGATGTAACCAAGCAAACCTCCTTGGTAAAAGGTTGCTGCTAGTCAAGAAAAACAGACAGCTTAATGGCTGTAGCGCTTTTCTAAGTATAGGAAAATGCATTTAATCCTCTCAAAAAACTGCTTGAATAGGTGCTCCACGCTCACACACACGTGCTCACAATATCTCTATTTTATTGATGAGTCAGTTAAGACACTTAAAGTCACAACAAAGTCTGGGTATTTCTACTACTGTGCTTGTCACCTGTCCTTCCAACTTACCATACCCTCAAGGTGGAGGACTTTCTAGAACAATATGCAGCCCGGAGAAGGAAATGGCAACCCACTCCAGTATTCTTGCCTGGAGAATCCAAAGGACAGAGGAGCCTGGTGTGCTGCCGTCTATGGGGTCGCACACAGTCGGACACGACTGAAGCGACTTAGCAGCAGCAGCCTCTCAAGCCGAGTGTCCAGCAAATCCTGTCTCAGCTTCCAGGGCAGACTACCAGGAGTCTGGGGATCTGGAGAGGGCCCCGCCCACTGCGTCACTGGTGACGCCATCACGCAGGGTCGAGGCGGTGCCGCCGCGTCCTTTAAATAAGGCCTTCCCAGGGAGCGCGCGGGCGAGAGGGGAGTCGGGAGGAGGATGTGTTTTTTGTTCCGGGGGGTTGCGGTCTGGGCCAGAGCCGCCGCGGACCACGAGGTGGGCGGCAAGGCAGTTTTGTGACGGAGAAGCGGTGGGGAGGGCGCGCTCGTGAGAGTCGGGAGGCGGGAACATGGCGGCCCGTTGGCCGTGCCGGGACCCTGAACAGCTGGTGCTAGCGCAGACCTGTTCTCCGGCTTTGCTGGCCGTTTTCTTACCTCCCTGGAACCTTGCTTCTTCTTTGGTTCCCTTTCCCTCAGCCTTCCTTGTGTCTTCCTCGGCTCTCTCGCCCCAGCCTCTCTCCGGGCAAAAGTGTGGAAGGTGGGTTCAGTAGGAACAGGTGAGGCCCGTCCGTTACTGAGAGAGAGACTCTAGCATTGGACTGCGTTGCCCACAAACTCTTTATCTGGACGCACAGGATGACAGGAGACGCACTGAGCTTGGAGTGTTGATGTTCAGACCAGATTTGTAGTGCTAGTGATTCCTCTTCGTGATCCCGTTAAATGCCACTTAGGTTATCTAGACCTCAGTCTCCGCAAAAGTGAGGTTCTGTTTGAAAGATTCTTGGTATTCAGAGCTTCTGTCCTAAGTCGCTCGCCAGAATTTGCCCCATAATTATCGTTGGGAAGGTGGAAGCATGATTTCTTTTGGCAGTAAGGGAGTCGGGGCAGGAGGCTGAGTGAAGATATACATCCCGTGCCCTAACGGGATTTAGTATATGAGCAGTGAGAATGCCAATGTGTTTCCGTCTTATTTCGCGAAGTTCTTGGAATAAGTTAAATGGAGAAGGACTGATCCCGTGTCAGCTTCGCGGTTCTGCCTCAAAGACCTTGGAAATAGTCATCTGTCTGCCTTTTTTTTTTTTTTTTTTTTTTTTTTAAGTGTCTGTGTCGGGTAAGGGTAGGTGTTAGGAACAGGTTCTTGCCTCATCTGAGTTAACAGTATCTGGCCCGCCAGTCACCTGATTTTGTTCTTGATCTTTGGTTTTTCCTCAGTTGAGTGCAAATTCTGGAGAAATCCTCTTCTTTTAAGAGCCTGCACTGCCAGGCAGCAGAATTGTGAACTAGAGTGAAGGAGAAATCTAGGAATATGAACTCCATGATGGCCATGGGTGAACCAAGGTTGAACTGGTGAGTTACATCTGTTTGTAATCCCCTAAAGTGGACTGAGGGGCTTTCCAGAATTCGCCTACCAACTTAGGAGACACAGGTGCAGTCCCTGGGTCAGGAAGATTCCCTGGAGAAGGAAATGGCAACCTGCTCCAGTATTCTTACTTGGAAAATGCCAGGGACAGAGGAGATTGGCAGGCTGCAGTCCATGGGGGTCTTGAAGAGTCAGATACAACTGAGGGACTGACTAGGCACCTACGCAAAGAGATTGAAGTGGGTCTGGTGACTAGTTTAGGAAAGGAGGGTATCTGGCCTGAAGAGATCTGGAGGAAACAAGAGGATAAGTTCAGTAGCTTAAGAGTTTACAATTCTCATCCACACCTACTGAGCAGTTTTGAGTTACCTTTGACTGTACTTCCTCTCCTAAAGTGATGACATTTCAGCACTTAGATTTCATCTGTGTATAAGTCCATCCTGTATTTATTGTTGGTCTTAGTGAAGGAGAGATACTGGAATATTCTTGTATTCAAGAACCTAGCCCATATCTGTACAAGGAATAGACCTTTAAGAATTGACAAGCTTTTTAAAAAAATATTGGAATCTATATCAAGTGATAATGTAAATGCATAGACTATTTTAGAAGTGTATGAGACCATCCCAAATAAAGGACTCTATTAAGTAATATAGTGGCAACAGAAATCTAATGTATGTGCTGCTGTAGGTCAATTTGACACACATTTCCTGAACATCTATACTAGTGAAGGAGTTTGCTAGCAGAGGAGAATATAAAAGTTACAAGAGATAACAATGATAGCTAAGATAGCACCTGACTCAAAGATTCAATCAGTATGTATGCTAGTATAATGTAGATGATGATATTGTGTATAATGATGTAATATTCATATTACTTCACTAGCAATCATATTACAATATAGAAATGTTATCGAAGTAACATGTTATACACCTTCAATTTACAAAGTGTAAAATGTCAAATTTATCAGATAAAATCAGTATGTGCTTAATAAGTACATGCTTATTGCAAAGAGTGCTCCCTTACTCCAAGGAGCTCACAATCCCTGGGCCTGTGACTTTGTTTTTGTATGTTATGCAAAAATTTTAGAATTTAATGAGATGTCACAAATACATAGCAAGTAATAAGAAACTACCCTGGTGTATAGCAAATAAGATTTTTTAATTTTATTGTTTGTACATTAATCATTGTTTTTTAGATAAACACCTTTAAAAATAGAAATGAATATGGGGCAAATATGCTAGAATTTCCCATTTTAGGAATGGCCAGCTGCAGGTGCTATTTGATTAGATTGTTCTGTTGTAAGTTCCTAGAGATATGGTCATTTATGCTTTTGCTATAAAGAATGTGTTCAAATGCAACACAGATGCTGTTCTATACCGTTGATATTGTGAAACCAAGTGTGGTTCAGGGCCTTTGCATTGCCTTTGCAATGTATTATAGACCTTGGAACTGTTCTTTTCTATAGAATCCTACTAATTTTTGTACTCCCTAGATTAATGGGTCTCAGTGTATTTAATTTTTAAATTGTTTCCTTAAACCAGCATTTATTTGACACTTACTAGATGGAAAGCCTTGACTACAGTATGTTAGTCTGTAAGTTAATTACAGTATGGAAAATCGTATATGACCTTACAAGTGGTTTTAGCAGAGGCACACTATTGATCACATTTGCCAAGTAAACAAAAATAATTGGATAATCAGTCTTTGTAGTGTTTTTTAGCTGAGCACAATAGTGAATGAGATGAAAATAAGTTGGGAAGCATTTTCTTTGAGCAATCAAACAGCTTAATGTTATGCCACAGAGCCTAAAATGAGTACTAAAGGAAAAAACAAGGCTGATTATTGAAATTGGAGAATTTCAGAATGGGCCTAGCTTAAAAACTATACAAGAAGTAAAACATCTAAACTCACACATCTGGTATGGGAAGTTAAAACATTAAGAAGTGATTTTCTGGGAAAGGAGAGGTCGGGGACATGTAGTTTTAAATTGCAGTTGTACCATTATGCTTGTTAATCTAGCCTGATATTTCAGTTGTCAAATCCAAGTAAATTACTTTGTTTTTCAGGGATGTTTCACCAAAAAATGGTCTTAAGACGTTTTTTTCTCGAGAAAATTATAAAGATCATTCCATGGCTCCAAGTTTAAAAGAACTATGTATTTTATCTAGCAGGTAATATGCTTATTTATTTGTTTATTTATATACATATTTGATATTTTTCTGATACTTGAAGTTTTATATCTACCTGTCTATATCCACTGTGAAACATTTGAATTATAGGAATGTAAAAATTAGAAAATAGAAGAACTTAGTATCCCCAAAAGACCACTCTTTGGTGCATATATGTAACATCTTTTAAGACCTTTCTGTACACATGAACAGATACATATTAAAAATTGGGGGAGTTCCCTGGATGTCCAGTGATTAGGACTTCATGCTTTCACTGCTGAGGGCCCGGGTCCAATCCCTGGTCAGCGAACAAGCCATGCAGTATGCGGCCCAAAAAAGAGGGATGTAGGTTGGAAATCACACTATAAATACTATAAACACTATAAAACTTTTGCAATTTGGTTTTTTAATTTAACATAATACTTTAGGTATTTTGTACCCCTATATTATCTCAGTCTTCTTAATGGCTGCATATTACTTGACTATACAGAGATACTTTTAATTCTTTTCACCAGTTTTACATTGTAAAATGTTTGTGCAGTTTTAACAGTAACATTTATAAAGTTCTTGTAATTATTTCTATAAGATAAATTTATAGAAATTGAATTATTTGGGCAGATACTATAAACATTTTCTATTTTAATAGGTACCACCAAATTGCCATAGATTTCATGCCACCAAATTTCTGGTATGAGAATGTGTGTTGTGACAGTAATAATTTCCCCTTCTCACTGCTTACCTGCCTATAACAGCTCTTCTTTCCTTTGTGATTGGCTGCATCTACTCTCTTGTGGATGAATCTTAAAACTGAGTCATGAAGTTTACTAGAAAGAAATGATAATATGCCAGATGAAGAATTGGGGAGCTCCCCTAGAAGAGCTCAATGTTTACTTTCATCTTTTCTCTACTTCTTTTGCAATGGAGGAAACATATTTCCACCCTCTGCATGGAATGGGACCCCATCTTGTCCACTTTTTCAGTGCCCTGTCAGTTAGCATCCCCTGTTACTCCCACTTCTCTCTCTCTCTTTTGTTTTTGGGTGGGGGGCACTTTGGTCAAGTGGCGCAAACTTGAAAGATCTTAGTACTTCAACCAGGGATCAAACCAGTGCCCCCTACAGTGGAAGCTCAGTCCTAACTGCTAGACCATCAGGGAATTCCCTCTTTCTTCTCTCTCGATCAGTATTTAAGCATGCTCAAGTTTGTCCTGTCTCAATCCCTGAATTTCACCTTCCCTCCTAGGTAGTGTTACCTCTTCTCTCATTTGTACTTAAGACTTCTTTGTACTTGTATATGGTTGCTGGGGGGACATGAGGGACAAAAAAGCTATAAGACCTACAGAAAACAGTTAACAAGATAGCATTACCAAAAATTACTTTAAATGGATTAAATGCTTCAGCCAAAAGACAGATTTGGAGCATCTATTTGAGAAACAGAATGGGGGGAAAAAAAGAACACCTTCCCTTTACTGCACATCCCATTGCACTTGCTTTCACTGAACATCTCACTATGATCTGTCTCCTACCCTCACTAGGCTGTTAAAACTACTCCTGTAAAGATAATGAGCTATTTTCTATGGAAGTATCTCACTCGCCTCTAATTTTCCTCCTGGTTTTCTGGTAACTGTGGTATTTCTTAGTGGAATTAACTCATTACCACCACTGATATTCATTTAGGCTGTTTTCATTCCTTTGCTATTAGAAACAGTGAGCATCCTTTCTGTATACTTACTGGTATAAGAATAAGTCCCTATGAGAGGAAGATGTGTGTGTGATTTTAATTTTTATAGATATTGCCAGATTGTCATTAAAAACATTAAGCAAGT